TTATATATATATATATATATGGTCACTCAAATGAATACGTTTATTCATACATGATGTTACTCACCTGGATAGGGGTACCAGTTAGAAGCAGACGGTTGCGACAGTTCATATCCAATAGAATTTTCCAGCGCATACTGCTACTTGACTTGATGGCCTGCGCTTCGTCTAGTACCATGTACTGCCACTTCAAGCGATTGAAGTAGACCGCATCCGAGACTACCATGTTGTAGCTTGTAATCAGCACGTGAAAAGTTGCATCTGTTCGTGTGCGTATGTACGTATGGAAGTATCAGTATGTATTTTATAAGGTGATGGAATTGGTGTGTGCATGGGAGTACGGGTATATTTGATATACAGAAGAAGACACGTCTGCTGTCGCTTGGGGCAGTTTGAATACACCCGCATCCAACACTGCAATATAGCTCGTAGTCAGCACAAGAACGGTAAGTGTATGGGTCAAGCTATGTACAAGTTTGAATGTGAATATAGAAATGCTCATGTGTGTATGTGTACAAAATTAAGTGTTCGAATTTACATGTACATAGCAATATGCATTTATGTACCAAGGTATAGTTGTAAAATCTAGATACACCTACTGGGCAAATAATAATGGCATTTCTCCCAAGTCATCGTGCGAACGTAGACGTATTTATATGCCCAAAACTATCCGCACATGTGAATGATTGTAGGTATACATGGCAGTCTGGATATGGGAGTCGAAGTCTGTATAACCCCGTATATATAGAAAGTAACACTGTACATAACTGCATGTCTGCGCAACTACACACAAACAATTTCTCTCACTCACGCGCACCGCTATCATCACAGACACCATGCTCGCACACAAAACACGTCAGCTTGGCACATACACACCTTTGTTGTGGACCTGTTTGTGCGTCCATTGCTTTCTGATGATCTTGCGTTGCGCGAGATTGCCCCAATACGGCAGCACCTGAAACAAACGCACGGCAATTACACCACGGAAGTAAGATTTCGGGAAAGCAAGAATGTGGGAAGGTGGCTTGCACATGATACCCACTGAGTGATTGGTGACGTTTCTGAAAGGTTACTGAATTAAAAGAGGTTCCGATTCAAATCAAGAAAACGTAGGAGTGCAAATGACTGAAAACACATGTATATGAAGCGCCCAATCTAAAATCATCAAACAAGTGCCACCCCAATAGATATGGCAGTACTTGATTCAGCACCAAAGAGCAAAGTAACAATACAACACATAAATGCAGAGGTGCACTTGTTTCACAATTCACTATCGTACACCAACTGTCCTTCAATTTAGTTATATATATATATATATATATATATATGATACATATATATACATAGACTACATAGTATATACAAGCGTACATGGAAAGAAAGTACGAGCAATCCGCACGCAGAAGCAGGCGTGTACAGCACTCTTCACAAGTACATAGAAAGCGCATACGTGAGCTTCATCGTAATTGGATGAAACTAAACATGCTAGCGAGACTTTACGTGTATCTACATTTTTTGAGATTACACTGCTAATCGACAGTCCCAAGTACCTTCAAGCTGGGATTGAACTTGACCAGCTCCTGCTGCCAGTTGTGGACTGTGGAGAGAGGCGCAACAATCATAAACGGTCCCCATATCTGGTGATAGTCTGCTAAGTACGACATCAGTGCAATGGTCTGGACCGTCTTGCCCAGCCCCATCTCATCGGCCAAGATACCATTAATACCTGTAACAGAGGATACCGCATAGATTGTTTGGGATTTGAATGGGATTCATGTTACCTTTGAGGCGTGCTCAACAGGTTGAGTGAATTGAGAACAGCACACACACAACAAAGAAACGCACAATGTCTACACCAAATACATACATCTTCACCAAATACATACATCACTTAGGAGAACCCGTCCGTACACATACGTAAATATATATATATATATATATATATATGTATGTATGTATGTATGTATGTATGTATGTATGTATGTATGTATGTATGTATAAGTATATATGTTTATGTGTATATATATAAACATTCTATCCTATTCTACTACATTATATATATTATTATTTATATATA